TCTAAACCGTCACCGAGTCAAATGTGCTCTTTAGAAAGCAGCATGGGGGAGGCATGTTAAGCACCCAGCTCCCCAAGTTCCCAGGAACAAGGGGCCCTGGCTGCTTCTGGATCTTGGCAGCAGCTTCTTCCTAGAGAGTTGCAATATGCCTTCATGCAAGACACAGCTACTGAGTGTCCAGTGTCTTCTGGGTCCAGCACAGAGGTCTCTCTCCAGGCAAAACAGACCCTGTGCATGCTGGCTGCCTCTGACGACAACCTGAATCAAGCCTGTGTGGCCTCTGAAAACTGACCAGCGGCCACCCTCAGTGTTTGGGAAATAAGAAGACCGAGCAGGGGGAGGAGACACTGTCCCTGCAGCCAGTGGTTCAGACTCAAGCACCCCAGAATCAGACGTGCATCTGCTGAGACGGAGCAGAGGGCCTCGGCTGAGGCCAGATCTAAACCCACCGAGGAGGTGTTCTGTGACTTGAGGAGTATAGTAAGATGGAGACAGACACCCATCAGAGGAGCATGGCACGGCAGCAGGGTCGGGATGCTTCTGGAGAACATCCCGGAAGATGAAGCAGTGTCAAAAGATGTTAAGCAAGGCTTTCAAATACAAGGCAGGCCCTGGCCATCCGCGAAACCCTGAAGTTCTCTGACATCAGTACAGAGTCCCGGGGCCAGTCCTGAGTGTGTAACACGGGGGACAGGTGGGGACCACAGAGATCAGGGCAGCCCAGGAAACCTGAGGGAGCCTCAGGCTGCTCAGTTTAGAACTCTGATTTTTCTCTACAAATGTCTGAATGTCAGTTCAATTAAAACCAGAAAAGCAAGCCGGGCGGTGGTGGCGCACGCCTTTAATCCCAGCACTCGGGAGGCAGAGGCAGGCGGATCTCTGTGAGTTCGAGGCCAGCCTGGGCTACCAAGTGAGTCCCAGGAAAGGCGCAAAGCTACACAGAGAAACCCTGTCTCGAAAAACCAAAAAAAAAAAAAAAAAAAAACCAGAAAAGCAGCCAGGTCCAGGGGCACAGGCCTGACACCCTAACTCCTGGGAGGCAGGAAGATTCAAAGTTCAATGCCAGCCTAGGCTACAGAGAGAGTTCTAGGCCAGCCTAGGCAACTTAGTGAGATCTTATCTCAGAAATAAAACTCGAGAAGTAGATTGGGGCTGTAGTTCAATGGGAGAGAGCCTGTCTAGCATGTGTAGGACCCTAGGTTCAATTCCCGTAACTACAAAGCCAAGTGACCAACCAAGAAAAGCCACATCGCTCAACAAAAACCACGTGAAGTAAACCCTCCCTTAGCAGGAAGAACAGGCCCAGCGGGGGAGGGGGGCAGCGCCTTGCCCCAAGTCACAGCCATCTGGAGGGAGCTGGGACCAAGAGCCCCGCTGTCTGTCCACCCTGACACTCAGGAGGAAGTGAGACAGGGAGACAGCATGAGTGGCTGATACTTCCTAACCGCTGAGGCCAGGGGCTCGTGTGCCGGGCCCCACAGCGGGAAATGAGATGGAAAGGAGGGTAAACTGTGAGGACGGGCCTTGGCCTCAAAGCCATCTCTCCACCCTGGCAGCTGGGTGACCCTGCAGCAACCACCGTGGCCATCTGCGCTCTGTGCCTCTGCTGTGGGGGGGAGTGAGTTAAAGGGCTACAGCTGGCTCCGTGGGTGTCAGCCGGGTTTGTAATCACTGCCTTTGATAAGGGGGAAGCTGAGGCTCTCCAAGAGCCTGTCCTGCTCAGCCTATGTCACCATCCCCTCCTATCCCCACTGGTACTCTACTCTGCAAACTCAGTCCAGGGGTAGCCGAGCAGCAACAGCTCCGGGCCTTGCTTTCCAGTGGACTGGTGGTACAAATGCAGGCTGTGCCAGCTCTCTGACCTTGCCAGCCTTCTGCCACAAACCAGCCTGGGTCAAGAGCCCGGTGGATGTGAGAATCCACTTGGCAGCCGGGCCACAGATGCCATCATCTCCTCAGCAATAATGGCCTCCCTGGTCCTCCCCAGCAATTTCTGGGGCTTGGCCCAGCCCTCCAGCTATTTCAAATGACTCATGCCCACAATTCCTCCTCAGCCCGCAGCTTAGGATGGGAGAGAGGGGCACCCCAGACCTCTGTGGTATGCCTGCAGCTGGGCCAGTTATGGCCCATGCAGCACAGTGCCTGCCTCACAGACAGCAAGGCCCGGGGGGCAGGGGGCAGGCACAGACTGCTGCTGCTCAGGGGAGCTTCTGGGACGTCACATGAAAAAAAAAATCAAGGCCACTCAAGCCATACCTAAACTCGCAAAAAGCCACACCACCCACACTCTAGCTACAAATACACCTACGATGCCACATGGACAATGCCCTGGCGGCCTCCAGGAGTCCAAGGCATCATCACCATGGCAAGTTCTGAGGCTGCACACCCATTCCCCCCAACAGGGACACAAGGCCTAGAGATCTCCCTTTCCCCAGACTGCTTTCGTCACCAAGGAACTCAGGGAGAATGTAGTAGCTACATCTAGTGCCTGGGACTCTGTTTTTCCAGTTCTGTCAAGCCATAGCCAGGTGACACCAGGCTGGACCTAGGGACCAGGACCTTCAGGGTAGTGTTTTAAACTCTGCAACAGGTGACTACCAGAAGCTGAGACTGACCGATTCAGAAATTGGAATCCCTTCAAGAATGTGGCTCAGGGCTATAGGAATATCTCAGTGGGTGAGAGATCATGCTATGCTAGCCTGAGGACCAGAGGCTGGAACTCCAGCCTCTCTGGGACAGGATGGGTGCGGTGGCACACAGCTTTGATTCCAGCAGATACCTGTCAGGTCCAGGCCAGCCAAGGCTATACAGTGTGACCTTGTATTAAAAAAAAAAAAAAAAAAGCCTGGCTCAGCAGTATGGGCCTGCAATCCCAGAGCTGGGGTAGTGAGTCAGGCAGGTCCCAGAGGCACCCTGGCCAGTCAGTCTAAGCCAAACGGCAAGTTCTGGGTTTAGTGAGAGACTCTGTCTCAAAAAACACAAGACGGGGAGCAACAGAGGAAAGACATACCACATCAACCTCTGGCCTCCCCCAAACCCACAAATGGACATGTGCACAGACACACACACACACACACCCTCCCTCCCTCTCTTTCTGTGGGAAGAGCACACTGACTGACCACCTCTTCTGCTGCCTCTCCTCACCGAGCACAGGGAGGGAGGGAGGGAGGGAGGGAGGGAGAGAGGGAGGGAGGGAGGGAGGGAGGGAGGGGACAGGTAGGGGCCCCAACACCAGCAGGTACTTCGGATGCCAACCACACATCTGATCCTCACTGCTCCTTACGTGCAGGTCCCAGGGACTGGCCCAATGACATACTGTCTACCCTCAGTCCATTAATGAGACGCTTGTTTTAACATGAACTAGGAAATCATCATTTATAACAAATGCATCAAAACCAGCAGGGCCTTGACTTCTTTGGAAGAGACTAAACATATTCAGGATTATGGGAACCCTCAAGCCAGGCAGGTGGCATAGGCCTCTAATTCCAGCATTCCAGAGCTGAAACTGGAGGGTGAGGAGTTCAAGGTCAGCCCGGGTTTCCTAAAACCTAGTCACGGACATTATCACAACCATCACGTACCCACAGGCAGTCGTGTGAAGTGGTAAGGCACTTTGGGAGTTTGGCAGCTCCTCAATACGTTAAGTTTTAAAGGGACCCTTTAGCCCAAGAACCCCACTCCTAGGTTAAGTATTAGACGGAATTGAAAACATACATGTACCAAGAAAAACATGTGTACAAACGTTCCCAGCAGCAGTATTAATCACAGACAAAAAGGAGCACCAACCCACGGTCCATCTACAAGTCAGTGGACAAAAAATACATATAAATGGTCTATTCACACTAGGAAATACTATTCACTCATATAAAAAAGTACTGCTGAATGCTATGGTAGAGAAACGCTATTACAAAAGGCTGTAAAGCCTATGATTCCACGAGGAACCATACAGAGAACTATCCAGAACAGACAAGTTCACGGACAGGCAGTAGGTGTCGGATGAAAGTGGTCAGGGCCCGGGGAAAGAGGTCTGGGAGCTGAGTGTTGATGAGGGTTGCTTTGGGGGATGTGAAAATGTTCTAAAAGTAGACGATGGGGACAGTGCGTGACCTAAGGATCCTAAAACCCACTCAAGAGTTCACTTCCAAAGGATGAGTCGGATGGTTAGCGGAGCAGACCTTCAGAAAGCCGTTAAGAAAACACTTAGATACGGTTTTTAAAACAAGATAGGGTAAACAGATAGGCTCGGGCAGAGGCGGGTACAGCGGTTCACGAATAACTTAACACCTTCTTTAGGCTAGAGAAACAAACCCAGTTCTGCACCTCCCGGAAACAGGGGCTGGAGAAGGGGGCTCGTCCCCAGTACGAAACCGGAGCCTTCCACCCCGATCCGCCTAACCATGCCGGGCCTAACCATCAGGCCACCCTGCTGGGATGAAAGAAATAAGGGGTGGGGTGTGGTGGGGGGAGGGCCGAGGAGCAGTGTGGACGCAGGGAGGCACGGGGGCCGAGGGGCAGCAGCCGCTTCTGGGGTGGGGGTGGGGGTGAAGGCCAAAACAGAGCAAGCCCCTTCCCCAACGCACGCGCGCGCCTGGAACCCCGCGGGGGGTGGTGGCGGGGGACGACGACTTTCTGCCGTCCTGGCTGGCGAGTCCTAGCGGCCAGGCAGGCACGTGACGGCCCGGGCCTCAGTTTCCCCCACGTGTAAAAGCAGGAAGCCGGCGGCACACCCGGCAGAGCGAGAGGGGAGGCATTCGCGTTCTAAGAACCACCGCGTCGTGGGCCGCGACCTCCGCAAGTTAACTTCCCCGCGGCGCCGCGCGGGTGGGGCTCCAGGCCACGCGTGTCTCCCTCCCGTTACCCACCCCCCCCCCTGCGGCGGCCCGGCCTGTCCGTCCGCGCTGCCCACAGTCCCCACCGCCCCGTGCAGCAGCCCCGACCCGGCACTGGCCGAGGCCGCCGCCGCCGCCGCCGCCGCCGCCGCCGCCGCCGCCGCCACCTACCGTGCCCGAATCGGCGCCCGCGCAGACTCCGGCTCCCTGCCGGCCGCCAGGGAGGCGCCGCGAGGGGCGGGGCCCCGTGTGGTGACGAAAGGGGCGGGGCCTCCTGTGGCCCCGCCCCGCCCCTGTGGCCGAGACCGCTAGACCACGCCCCCTGCCGCGGCCCTCTCGCCCAACGACTCCAGGCGAGCCGGGAAGCCTTGGGAGGCGGGACCTGGATAGGCCCTGCCCACACGGCCTCGGCCACGCCCCCGCCCCGCGGCTGGCCCTGCGGCAGGGAGGCGCTGCTAGGGGAGGGCCGCGCGTCGTGACGCAAGAGGGAGGGGCGGGGCCGAGAGGGACCCGCCCCTCTTCCTGCGCTGCCCCGCCTTCGCCTCCGCCCTGGGGGCGGGGCTCCCGCCGCTTGGGGCTGCCGCTCCGGATCCTACAACCCGGCAGGCGTACCCCACTCGCACAGCCTCCTGCAGGGTTCAGCTACTCAGGCCAGCGTTCAGACGCCACGCGGGCTGGCCGCCCTTCATCCCAGAGGGCAGCCAGCCCTAGGTGTGCATAGCAAGGGAAAAAGTTCAGGCTCGCCTCTCCCTGCGTCCTCTTTATCCTCTGTTTATACCTTACGTACATGTGTGTGTGCTGCTCCCTGTTTAAAATACATTTCTGGGACCGGAGAGATGCCTCGTTTGGTAAAGACGCTTGCAACCCCCGAAACCCACGGAGAGAAGCGACTGCACAAGGTTGTCCCTGACCTCCACGTGTGTGCTATGGCACACACACACAGAACTAAAAATAAATAAATATTTAAAATGACATTCTGGGGTTTACGAGGTGGCTCAGCGGGGTAACAGCGCCTGCCTCCAAACCTGAGAACCTGAGTTCGTTCCGGGACCCACATCATACAAGGAGAGAACAGACACCCTCGACCAGACAAATTGTCCTGTGACCTCTGGGGTGTTGTGAAACAGTATCCCCCATACCCAATACAAAAATAAATGTAATAAATTTCTATTCTAGTTACAACTAGCACAAATATACATGCACGCCAGAGAAGTCAAGGCACACAGATGTGTGTTTGTCTTCCATTCATGCGTTCCATAAAACAGTGCCTGTCCTGTGGGAGACGCTGGACTGACAGAGTCTCCACCTCGGCGAAACCAGTTTTCTACAATAAAGCCACATGACATAGCGTTGATGGAGTGCATATTTGAGATTTTGTGTGGCTAACCTGACACAGCAGCTGGGAGTTTCATACTATTCACAGGTGAAGAAAGATACCAAAGAAAGAGGTCCCAAGGGGACTTCTGCTGGGGGAGGGCTCTGTGCTGGGCTTTATGATCCTGGAAGGAAGCTGGATCCCTCAACAAGCCTTCACAGTAGAGTGTGTGTGTAAATGACCAGACTGGAATAGGGGCCTAAGCTGGTCCAGGGAGGAAAAATGGAGTTCTTACACCATAACCTGAAGTTCAGGCAGGGCGGCGTGTGCTGCTAGTCCTGAAAAGCACATTAGTCACAGCAGAGTGTGGGGCAGCAGGTGGGGCCTTGCATGAAGTTGGGTAGGCAGGACGTGGTGGAGGTGAGAGGATGCTGCCAGGCTCCTGTGCATTGGGGAAGAGAGTCTCCACCATGTCTTGACAAAATGAGGACTGGGAAGGTGTTCGTCAGGGAAGGGCGTGGCTAGCCGTGCTTTCTGTAGAGACACCTCTCTGGGTGCTCTTGGGGAGGAGCAGGCAGGGTTTGGTTCCTTCCAGGGGTAGTTAAGTATTCCAGGGTAGGCACAAGGGTGCAGAAGAAGGGTTCTGCTTCCAGAGTCGCTGGGCAGAAAAGCGAGGCACAGATCTGAGTGGAGGGCTCAAGTGAGCATTCTGGCAGCCACCCAGGGTAGCAAACGCTTGCAGGTCTCCATCCGACTGTCACCCCTGGAGGAAGTCCACTCCCCTGTCCCGCTTCTGGATCAACCTGGGAATCTGATGTGACATTGAAGACGGGTTAACAAGCTCATTTCCATCCCATCCCTGTCCCTGGACTGGGGCCTTCCAGGATGGGCACCTCCTTCATCTGCTCGATAACCCGCTTCCTTAGCGGGCTCACGGAGCATGGCGCTTAGGGAGTCTCCAGGGGATGTTTGTCAACAGCATGGGATAGAGATGTAGCACAGGTCTAACCTCTTCCTAGCACTGACCTCCCAAAAGGCTGTGTGGATGCTTTATCAATGGCTCTGCTTTCTTCAGGCACAGAGCCTGTAGGCGGAGCTGTTCAGAAGGGTACTGGGGAGTGGGAGTGAAGGATGTGGCTGAGGGATCGGTAGATCACTCTCCTAACACTCTCAAAACCATCCCCAGCACCACCAGGCTTGGCTGTGTTTTGTTTTTCATCATCTTCAACCTGCCTGTTCACGCTCCCCAGCAGCCTTCTGAGGTTTCTTATCACCACCACACACACTCTACAGGGGAGGAAACGGAGGGTCAATCAGGAAATCTGGTTTGAGGGCTACAGCTGCCTCTTAGTACTAATGCAAGCTCAGGTCTCTCTCACCTTCCCCGGGGCTCTGGCAGCAGAAGGCGGCTGGCAGTGGGTCCCTTCTCTGGCAGGAAGCAGGTGGGGTTACCATTTCTCTCTGATGGTCAGACTTCAGAGAGCACCCTTTGGTCTCTGACTCAGAAGACCTGCTGCCACGGTAATGCGGCTCCAAACAAGGTGCTCATCTCTGGTTTTTGTCCTGTCATTTTTGTCTATTTGCACTCGTGTGTGTGTGTGTGTCCAGGTGTGTCTGTCCATCCAGGTATGTGTGTCTAGGGCAACCTGAAGTGTTACATTCTGGAGTCCTATCTACCTCCTTTGAGACAAGGTCTCTCATTGGCCAGAAGCTCACCAATTAGGTGGGACTGGCTGGTGCACAAGCCCCCATCCTCCTGTCCCTGCCTCCCCAGTGCTGGGATTACAAGCACACCCTTCTCCACCCAGCATTTTCATGGGTTCTGGGCATTAAGCTCACGCCTTCATGCTCACAAGGCAAGAGCTTTAGTGACTGGTCCATCTCCCCAAACCCTTTCGGTTTTTTTTTGAAACAGGGTCTCGCTATGCAGCACAGGTTGGTCTTGAACTCATGATCGTGCTGCCTCCATGTCCCAAGAGCTGGGATTAGTCATGTACCGTCACCACCAGCTTTAAATGCTCACCTCTTTAGAGCCTCCCTGGGACACCCTGGAACCATATCCTCATGAACTCAGCTGCTGTGTGCCCTCCAGGGTCTGATGCTGACTGATGCTGACCAGTGCCCCTGAGTACTTCCAGGGCTACTCCTTCCTACTCTGCGCGCGCGCACACACACACACACACACACACACACACACACACACACACACACACACATACACACACACAACCTATGTTGTACCTCAATCTCAGAAGATATGGGTTAGGTGCTCCAACAGGGAGACACTTTGTCTTCCCAGAGGCCCTGGAGTCAATATTCAAGATCTCAGATCAAATGTGGGAGGTGGGAAGTGGGAGGTGGGAGGTGGGAGGTGGGAGGTGGGAGGTGGGAGGTGGGAGTTCCCAGCTCAGCTGAATTGCGGCTGTAAGCCCGGTGTGAGGGGCAGGACTCCAGTAGACTCCTGGAGAGTCTTCCAGAAAAGTGGGCCCTGCAACCAGCCCGTTTTCCTTCAGTGTCACCCCTAAATCATGTTTTGAGTTGAGTTTGAAACTGGGTTTTGGTTTCAAAACACAGCGTGGCTTTTCACCTTGAAGTGCTGGAGTTCTTCCCCAGCTGGCCAGGGCCTCACAGGTCCAGGACAAGCTGGAGTCAGGACCTGGGGCAGGAGAGGCAGGTTCAAGGCGCCTGCTGTGATCACCCTGGCCATGGATGTGTCCTTTTCCTCGCCAGTGTTTATTTTGCTTAGAGTCTTCTGTAGGCTTTGTTTTTCTTACAGCGTGTCTGACGTGCTTGTAAATTTGCTGGCAAAACAATAAATAAAAAAAAAATAATGACTGTTATTTCCTCCTGGGTTTTTGTGTTTGTTTTGGCAAGTGTGTGTATCTAATCTCAAGGATGCTAATTTGCCCAATGTGTTTCACCTGTCAGTACCGTCAAGAAAACATGGGTATCACTGGGCTGAGAGCAAAGGAAGGCGTTTGAAGTCCTGCTCTTTCTCCTCCCTCTCTTTCCTTCCCCCTCCTTCCCTCCCCTCTCTCTCCCTGCCCCGCTGTTTCCCTGTCCCCCTGTCCCCAGCCTCCCCTCCCCAGGGTCTCCCCCAACTCCCTACACAGTAGAGGACTTCCTTGACTATCTGATCTCCCCCCCTCCACCTCCCAAGTGTTTTGATTATAGGCATGTGGTACCACACCCAGGATTTTCTGTGCTGGGATCAAACCCAGGGATGCGGGCAGGCTAGGCGAGTATCTACCAACTGAGCTGCAGACCCAGCTCCTGTCTTCTTCCAGGACTCATCCGATCAACACAAGTAAAAGAAAACGGTCCTGTAAATAAGATCTAAACCGTCCTTTCAACAAGCATGAAATAAAAACTCAGAGTGACCGGTTAGCAGTTGAATCGGCGTCCACGGAAATCAACTTTCTCTTTGTGGAAATGTGAGATCATGGTGCATCACGCTATCTGCAGGATGTTGGAGCTAAGCAATTGTGAAGGTTAAGTTCATGTGGCTTTTGACTGTGGGCTCTGCTCTGCAACAGCACAGTCTTTAATCCCTCTGCTCAGGAGGTGGTGGCAGGAGGATCAAAGTTTCAGATTATCCTTGGCCACACAATCAATTCAAGGCCAGCCTGGACTATAATATCAAAGAGAAAACAAGGCCGCGTGCACACCATAGGAGCTCAAGGGAGTGAGAAAAAGGAGAGGGAGGAAGAGAAAAAGAGAAATAGAGAAATAAAATGATGGTAGGAATTGACAGCTCCTGGTGGGGAATCTCCGCAGCCTGCCCTTAGACTCAGTCATGGAAGATTGGTGATGTGTTACAGAGAACCACAGCTTCAGAATCTTGGGTTTGGAGGGACAGTGGGGCTACCGATGGGCAGAGGGAAGGGCAAGACCCAGAACGGAGCCATTCACGGGACACATTCTAGGCCCCAACAGAAGCACAGACCAAATACTTGTGCCTCTGGATCATC